GGGGTGCAGGAGGGGTGTGGGGTGCAGTAGGGGGCTAAGGGCAAGGGGTTGGGGTGCAGGAGTGGGCTCAGGGCAGGGGGTGGAGTGCAGCAGGGGGCTTGGCAAGGGGTTGGGGTGCAGGAGTGGGCTCAGAGCAGGGGGTTGGGGTGCAGGAGGGGGTGCGGTGTGCAGGAAGGGGCTCAGGGCAAGGGGTTGGGGTGCGGGGTGCAGGAGGGGTTCAGGGTGCAGGCTCCAGCCTGGCGCTGCTTATCTTGAGCAGCTCCAGGGTGGCAGTGGTGCGCAGCAGGGCTAAGGAAGGCTCCCTGCCTGCCCTGGCCCTGCACCACTCTCGGAAGTGGCCAGCATGTCTGGCAGTGGCTGCTGGGGGCGGGGCAGGCGGCTCCGCTGTGTGCCACCCTCGCCTGTGGATACCACTCCCATAGCTCCCATTGGCCATGGTTCCCCGTTCCTCCACTAGGGGCCGCATGGACATGGTGCCAGCCGCTTCTGGGAGTGGCACGGGCCAGGGCAGGCAGGGAATCTGCCTTAGCCCTGCTGTGCCACGGGGCTGGCAATCCTGCAGGCTGTATTGAAAGCCCTGACAGGCCGGATCTGGGCTGCGGGCCATAATTTGCCCTCCCCTGGCATAGACATATCCACAGTCTCACGGGCTTTTCTCCTGTGGCATTTCTCATCAGAGTTAAAAAGATTGAGAGCTGCTGCAATCATCCTCTCACCTGGGAAAGTCCTGGTGGGATGATTGCTTTGGTCACAGGGGTTCACTTTTGCTTCAGTCACTGGGGTTCACTTTTGCTGTGTTTGTTGTTCTGAATCCTGGAAAAATCTCTCTTGCTGTCTTTTGCTGTCACTTTTAAAGAGCAGCAGTGTGAATATGGGAACAAGAAACACACGTAGGTATATAATGCGGAACAATACACACATAGGAAGGAAGCAGGCAAAGTGCTGATTAGGTAGCTGAAAACAGTATTAGAATGGCTGTATTGGTGGACATGGCAGTGTAAATGGAGATTCATATGGCATTTTGCTAGAGAGGAGAGTTACAAGGCCATTTGCACAATCACATTACATGCGCAACCCTTCTGCTGTTGGGATGTAGGAGAACAACATATTCAGAAGCTTGTTCGGACCTCAAAAATACAGTAGTCCTGACATGGAGTGAGTTACTGATTAGATGAATTTGGCCCATTGTCTTTGGATCCTTGTCTTATGTACAATGTAAAGTTGTATGTTACGTAAAGTTATAAATACAGATGTCAATTTTATATTTCTCTTAGCTTTGAATTCTTGTGTGTATGTGTGGGCTGAGTTGCCGAACTCCAGTGTGTCTGTATAAAGTTGGAAAACACACACAGGAGTTGGCATCTCACACACTAACACAGTCTAAGCTGAGAGAAATATGAAATTGACAGTTGTGTTTGTAACATTAGTGTTTGTAACAACCTAACCTAATTAGTGTAACGTTGTGTTTGTAACACTCTAACCATAGTAGAAAAAAAGTCTATATTTTAGAGAGAGAGTGAGTTTGAAAATATAATTTAATGAGGAGTTGGGGGAAATCTTTATTTTTAATCCGGGATTTATGTTGATATTTAAATATTTACATGGTATTAGGAGGTGATCATTCTTGAAGATGTACTAAGTGTGTTTTTTTTTCTTTTAGCCAGTTATTGTGAGAGCTGAGTTTAATATAAACTTCAGAAACCCAGTACTCGGGGGACAAATAAAAATGAGTCCTGGAATTTTCCTTTATCCCTTTCTCCACATCCATCTTGTGATTATACGCTTTGTGACTAAAAACTGTCCATAAGGAGTAATTGTTGAGAAGTTTTATTACCAGCATTCAGTCATGGAGTTCTTATGGAGGTTCTTTCATTTATGGTTTTCTTCCTGTTTGTTTGTTATGAGGAATCCAAGTCAACTCTGGCTCTGTTTGTACTGTCCCTAAGTCTCTTCAAGGAGGCTCCTGCACATCTTTTTGGGAAATGAGCAAAAAGAGGTTTTTCTGTATATTTTTAATCTCTACATATACCAGCTAGCAAGTTCAGCACACTGTGTCTTGTGACTTTCGTTTGAAAGATTCATTTTTTACCCCATAAGATATTTACAAAAACATCAAAAATTTAGATCCTGCCACAGGGGAGTTATATGAATTGTGAGCGGGATATTTATTTTGGGGTTGAGGGGAAGGGATGGAGTTTAATTTTTTGAGTTAAACACAAATAATTGTAAATTATTTTGTAGTTCAGTGTAACTCCTGTGTATTTAAGATTGTAATCTCCTTAGGGAGGGGCGTAGTTCTTGTTTGAAACACTGCACTGTGTGCAACCAACCTGCTGTATAAAAATGGTAATAAGCAGGGTCTGTAAATGACCTAGTGCTGCACTTCATGGCAGCTAATGGCAGCTGTGTAACATGTGATAGCCTGTCAAGGAAGATACTTGCTATGGTGTAGTGCTTTTACAATATATAATTAATTACTTTTAATTAATTCATTTTTACACAGTGCTTTAAAAATGTGCAGTGCTGTGTAAGCGATCCTTATTAGTTGATCTATTAAGAGATGTTCCTATTAAATATACTTCCATAAGAAGGATGCATGATTAAAACTTAAGAAGAAAATCAGTCATTTTGTGGGTGAAATCCTGACCATGCTGAAGTCAGTGGAAATTCCCCCACCTGACTTCAGTGGGGCCAGGATTTCATCCTCTATGTTGGCAGAGTTTGGGATGAGCTTTCCTCCATTAAATTAATTCTCATTTGCTGAGTTTAGCCCTTGCTTCTGAAAAACGGTGGTGTTCTGTTGGTGGAGAAGGAATTTGAAGTTTAATTTGAAGCTCCAGTCCAAAGCATTAACTTAAATAACCCATTGCATGTTAATGGGAACATTGATGTTTGTCCGGTTGTCGTGCGTTATCACGACAGGCTGGAGCAGGTGTATGAGCTGATGCATAAGTTAGTGTGAGATTTATGTACTCTACATTTATGAGTTTTATGTGCCAGATTTATGTGCTCATATCAGGTCATCACCTCAAGAGTTTGAGTGGCTGAACAAGTGAATCTTAAGAAAAAGATGGTTTTGAATTCCATTTAGAAATTATGTTTAAAACCTTATGAGCAACTTCATTTTCACAATGCAAAGGTATGCTTTAAATCTCCCTTGGCTTCTCATGCTGCATGTTACCTCTACCCAGGAGGAGAACAGAGAGAGTTATCTCTGCAGTAGACACAAAATACATTTCCGTCCCTTACTTCTCAAAAGGAACACAACCATGTTATTACAGTGGAGCCCAGGGTGTCATGAAGAAGACAATTCTTCTATAGGGTACACTTCGTATGCTTATGTAGCTGCCTAAAGTGAACAGGCACATTTCTGTTTGGTTCTGAACCAGTGGAAGGAATTATAGAAAGTAAGTCCCTTTTTGGATGGATGTTGACAGTGGCATGACTGCAAGACTTCTGGCCATCTGGGGAGGCAGTTGGGGTAGATAGTCTGCTGAAGGTATGCATCTCACTTTCTTTCAGAGGTAAAGTTAATCTTCTTAGTGTAAAATACATTTCTGACCTCACCTGCAAGCCCTATCCTTTCCAGTTTATTTAGCTTATTTTCAGTCCAAGTAAAAGTGAAAAGCACTGTGAGGGGAAGGGAGCAAAACTTGGTTTAATAGGTAGGCTGGTTGAGACTTGTGCCTGGTACAGACACCAAACTATAGTTGGATCAATGGCTATGAACGCACTATTCTGCATCAAAGTTACCCAGTGACGGATTGTTTTTTAATAAGGCAATATAAAGAAAATAAGCCCAAAATGTAATATTTCTTTGAAAAAAAAAGCCTAGCGAGCAGCATGTTTTCCATTGTAACTCCCTAATATGTATCTAGTCGTTCAAAGTCATAACATGTCAACCTGTTGGGCTGGGGAGGAAAGATTTTTCCAGAATATAGATGTTTGCATAAATTACTTTCTAGTAGTGAAGATGAGGTTTCACAAAGGCATGTGACAGAAGCAGTTTTCATGTCACTATATTAGTACTCTTTCACTGACCCTTTTGTTTAGATAATGCAGCATATATAAAGGGGCACCTATTAAGGCACTAAGTGCTCTTGCCATAAATTACAATAATAAAATGAAAATTGCTCACAAACCAGTAGATTTCCCTCCTTGACAAATCTGGATTTCTCTTGCTAGGAGGAGCTAGTCTACCAATGCAACCAGTGCAGTTTCTCTACATACACTGTTCTGTAACCAGACTGACGTGTCAAGGAGACCTGAGGCAACATGACAAATATTGTTTCTGATCTTAAAAGAAAGTTCAGACTAGATATGAACCCAAGCTGTGACATTCAGATAAAAATGTAAACCTCTGTAAAATGTGGGGATGTGAGAGTCTGGGATTATGGTGTGGGACCACTTCCGATTCAAACAGTAATATCAAGGGGATTCTAGATGGTTTTCCAGAAATGTGGTGGTTACTTTCTAGTCCCCTAGGGCAAATCTGGCATAGGTCAAGAGTGACAAAAAGCCATTGCTGTGGGTTGGTGCTCTCAAATCAGTTCATGCTAGAAATGGCCTCAACAAACAGATTAGGGATTCAGTGAACGCATTTATTTACTGATTATCAATACAGCCCATAGCCTTGTCACCAGGATGCCTTATTTTTAGTTAAAAATGCATATTGGTTATGAACTACCCTTTCATCCTGAGAGACTGTCCTTCCAGAACAGTGGTAAGGCAAATTGGCAGGATCCCTGTTGGAAAAACTCATGTTGTTTCCAGTGATAGAGAGTAAAACGGAAAGCTTCCATTTCCAGTGGAGTCATCTGGAATCTTTTGTAAGCATTACATTCACTGGCCCACTCCCCATGTAAAATTATAAAATCCAAACAAACAAATCTAGCTGCATTGAAAAAGAGGTTTTATTTTTTTAGTACAAACACAATAAAACATGTGAGATGCACAATAAAACATATATACACACAAAAATAAATGAAATATGGGTAGTTTTCAGCCTTTTGTACAAAGAAAAACAATGTAACATAGTGCCAGAAACAAAGCAAAAATACAAAATCATTCTTTCCAGGTACACAAATGTCCTGTTTTAAAGAGAAACTAATAGCTCCGAGTTTTAGGTACAAACAGCTAGTTTCAGTAGACTTTCCTCACTTCCTAAAAATTCACTGTTAGTGAAGTCACACCCACTTTGCCTTGCAGGGTCTCTGGTGAAGCCTAAACTGCATGCTAGACGGGGATTGTTCATCCTGTACATATAGTAATGACTCAGACTCTTAAATTAGATAGGAATTTTCCATAAAGATTTCAAATAGATTTTCATGTACTATAAAATTACCTCTTGTGGCTAAATCATTCTAGGATTCCCCAAGCTCTACATAGAGCCTTGAGGATCTGAGCTTTGTTACACCTTTATTCTTTCCTATTTTCCTTCAACTGTCCTACGGTTGGCTGGGTGGAGCCGTCTCCAGAATCCTTCATCTCAGCTCTTCATTTTGGTAGAGATTAATACAGGGCTCTCTCTTCCCTTCAGGGGCTGAGTACTCTGACTTGGCCTCTATCAGCCATTCCAAAACAGTCTGATGCTGAAGTCAGAAGTGGTAGAAGATCTCCTCCATCCCTGAGCTGGGCAAACAACTGTTTTTTTTAAATCCAACGTCAGTTGCAAAAAATAGGGGAAAAAAATCAGTTTGAGTTGAAATTGTTGAATCAAAAAGTCTGTTCCAGAGTGAGAATTTGAACCTGGGTCTATCACATTCATGATGGGTGCCCCAACCACTGGGCTAAAGGTTATGAGTGGGGGATAGTGTCACCAGCACAATAGCGTCACTACCTCCTCATCTTTCTCCTCCTCCTTCCTCTAGCCATTTTGTGAATGCCCAAAACTATATTTGTGTCAAATTCACGAATAGTTGGAAGGCAACTGAAACTGCATTTTTCGTGGAGTAAGCTTTGTCCAAAATTTTTTGTCCAGCTTTGCTATTCAGTCACTCCCAAGCCCTTGTTGCTAGCTTGCACTTCTTATGTGCTCCAGGTTGGTTTATGGAGGCTAACAGGCTGCAGCTGTTGCGTAGTTCTGCTGGTTAATCCTTGCCCCTCGCATAGAACCCTGGCCTGGATATCCAGCTTTCTACTCCAGTCATTCTCCTGCCTGTCCTAGGCCACAGACAACTAATATATTCCATTATAAGAAGTTATAGTTTGAAGTAATCTGGAAGTAGTGCATAGTACGATATGTGGTAATACTTTTTAATATGGAAAACAAACAGCTGAAATGCTTTTTAAATTGACACCTTGTGTTTATTGTTGCACCTGCTCTTCGTTTATCCAATTCCTTTGTTAACTGCTTTGCAAACTGGAATAATTTTCCATACTGTATCTTATAAGGGATATGTGAATGTCTGAAATAATTATGCTGTCATGTAGTGTTTGACCTTCTGGATCTAGAGTTTTCTATTTCACCTGAAGTTGTCAGCTTGAGATGCAGTTTTTGGTATAACTTTTCTCTAAAGGGCTTACAGAGAAATAAATAAATAATGGGATCAAGGCACACATTTGCAGCAGACAGTAACAGAGTAAATTCTTTTCCATAGTACAGATTTTTGCTTGACTGACAGGAGAACTGAGACCCAGTTTGACTTAATGTGTATGGAAGTCTGCAAAGATGATATGGCACAAAACAAATGACAAATACAAACATGATGCTGAATATATTGCGATTGATTTTTTCCTTAGTTACTGTTGAATTTCTCCTGAACTTTCTGTAGGAACTATATATTTTTCTTGTTATTGCACTGTAAAAAATGATTAACAGAAGAAACACAGTCCAGAAAATTCCTAGGCAAATATAGTTTGAAGCCTTATGCCACTGTAGACCAAGCTCACTTTTAAAAGTTACACACTTTCTGGAATTCTTCTCTGTAGGATGTTGATTAGTTAAAATAATATTTGGAAATGATAAAAACATGAGCAATGCCCATATGACTACAGAGATAATCTTGCTGTAATTAACTGTGTGAACAAAGGAGGTAAGCAGAGGCTTTACAATTTTGTAGTATCTGTCAAACCCTATGAGGCCAAAAAATATTATTCCAACGTACATATTTAGGTAAAAAATAACAGCAGAAAATCGGCAGACAAAAATGTTGAGCTGCCAAGGCCCAATTTCTGAATCACTAAGAATTTTGAAGGGGAAAGTCAGACTCATAAGAAGGTCGGCAACAACAATGTTCTTGAGATAGACGACAAAGCTTTTCTTGCTAGGAACATGTAGAAAAATCCATGCTGCTACACCGTTTAACAGGATTCCTCCTATGAAAATAAATCCATAAGCCACTGGAATGACATGAGTAGTTATTATTGAGCTGTTAGTGCAGTTGTTTCCTGAAGCATTTACGCTTGAGTTGGACATCTTAGAATATTTCAGTCTGTGTTCCTGAAAGCAGAGGAAAAACAGTGTTACCAGTAAGATAAATTGGATGTATCTTACTGTGTTCATGTTGCAGTTGTTTCCATTATTATAAAGTTAACATTGATGTCCTTTGCTGTATCATCAGTATGCTTTTCAGGAACCAAAGTAAATATAATTTCCAACAAATGTGCTTAGTATAAATGTCTAATTGCTGGTGTTGGTCCACTCTTTTGGCTCTGTCTATGAGTGAATAGTATTGTTTTAAATAAGAAAACAATAGATTCTCTAAGTCCTTGATGCCTTTCTGTGAGTAGGTGCATGTTGCACATGCTAAACCCTGTTCTTGTTCAGGAGGTTTATTGCCCCCCCCCCAAATGGGGAAACTTGTAGGACGATCTGGTTAAAATACCAAGGTGATCATTCACTTAGTGATCTCAATTTTGTAAATTTTGGGTGTCTACTGGAAGAAAAGCCTACTTACAACATTACTTATGTTAGAAGAAAATGTAGAACAGGTATTTTTTTTTTAAATTTTCAGCACCGCTGATTTCCCAGCACCTTTAGTGGACTACAAAGTTGCACCCTCTGAGCATGGAGGGTTCCAGACACAGCAGAATCTATGAAGTTCTGTTCTGCAGGAGTAATATGTAAGGCATGTAGCGGAGACAAGATTGATGCTAGTGGGGGCGAGACTGGTGGATATATCCCTGCCCAGATCCGTTGCCCACTAGGGCTGTAGAGGCTGCTCCAGTCCTGAGGCTGGAGTAGCAGCTGCACAGTCACTCAGTTGATACTATGTTACTTGGGGAGTAGGCTGTCTTCCGGTCATGCCCCCATGGAGATATCAACTCCAGTTACTTGGGCTAGGTACTGGGAACAGGATTTGAAGCACTGTATATGTGGTTTAATGAATGCAGATATATGCAGTTACAAAGGTCTGGAGTTTTGAACTCTAAGGCCGGTATACTATAGATATGCGGTATGTTATTAGAAGGTGTTAGGGAGGGAAATGTTGCTTCAGCAAATTTTATATTCTGTATGTTGCACTTGTAAACAAGAGGCTGGTGAAGAACACTAGATAGTGCCAGCATTCCTTACGTTCTGTTGAAGGAAAGCCTTAGAGCAAGCGGTGCTAGCTGCACTTATCTTAGTTGTTAGTAGCACAATTATAAGGATACATTTGTACACTAGCATAAGGTGTAAGCTAGAATTGTCTTTTAAGGCTCCTCAAATTAAAACATAGATCATTTCTTCGTGGTCGTCAGGAAATCACATCTGCTGCCTGCTCTGCTATTGCTTTTAAAGGTTTATGTGAGTCTATTTTTCTTGTTAGGAACTGAAAAACCAATACTGTATATTGCTGCTGTATTTGGCAAACTAAAACTTTAAGAACAACTGAGAAAACAAAGCTCTCTGATGTCCCTTTGAAAGTAAAGCTTTTGCTTGTTGTCATAAGCTTGATTTGCAATGGTCACAAGTGAACCAAAAGTCAAGAATATCAGATCCATGGGATCTCTGTGCGTGGGAGGCTGGAACTCAGACACAAGCTTGTGGTCATTTTAAATACACTACATGGGAAATTTTCTTAGAAATAGAACTGCATAGTTGGGTCACTTTTTTGCATACTGTATTTGAAACATCCCTTTTAAAGAGAGATTGTCAGGTTTTAAGTCAGTCACCTTTAACTTGGAATAGGATGGCATATGGTATATCAAGGGTCCCAAATTCTCCCAGTTATAGGTTCAGAGGCCCACAGTTAAACCTCTTCCTAGTACATGCATCCAAAGGTCAACAAGTTTAAACTCTAGCTGTCAATTTTAGTTGGGAAAAGCGGTGTGTGTGTGTGTGTGTGTGTGTAAAGGTGAAGGGCTGTTAGACTATAGTCACAATGTTAATAGATGGGGAGGATTGTTAAAGGGTAGTAAGGTTAATTCACCTAGAGCTTGGGAAAAAATGATCAAATATAGGAAGATAAAAAAACTTGCTACAATTTTCCCAACTGAAATGGCTAAAGCTAGATACCTAAATCCCTATTTAAGCACCTAAACATAGTCTTATTTGTAGATGGGCTGGGCACCCACAGCTCGTTTTAAATCGATGGGAGTTGCAGATACTCAATATCTCTGAAAATCAGACTACTTTTATTTAGGTATTAAGGCATCTGTGTTTGAAAACTGTAGTCCTTGGCTACTGTCCTCTTCCCTAAACCCTTGTTTGTACTGTATATTTTCTGTTTAGACCGTAGGCTCTTCAGAGCAGGGAGCTGTCATGTTTGTCAAATGCCTCAGAAACATTCGGGTGCTACATAGAAAATGAGCTCTATGCACAAAAATTTAGCTAACAGCAAGTGGTTCTGTATTAGTAAAGAGTTTGGGCAAGTTCAGGTGATAGTCCTTGCGCAGATCCCACAGACTCTGGAGGGTTGTCTCGATGGTGTTGGCATCAAGAGGTGGGTATAGAAGAGCTTTGTATGTTGTCTCTAGCTTAAGTCCAAGACAGAGGATTCCTTAGAGGAAGATTAAACTTTCAATTTGTGCTTAGTTCAGCTTCATTTTAACAGTTATATACACCTCTACCCAGATATAAGGCTGTCCTCGGGAGCCAAAAAATCTTACCAC